AAACAATGTATTAGTTCATCAAAAGACGTTATGCATGGGATCCACTCGAGTGAGGTGGGGAAACATACGATAGATTTACAGAATGCATATCCCTACATATCGGAAAGATTTATTGTTGCTGTGAAAGACAAAACAACGTCGCCACGCTATTACCAAAGGTATATAAGGAGACAAGAAATATAACCATAGTTAGGCCGAAAATGCAAAAGCGATATAGAAGCAATAGATATCGCCGAATGCACGACATTAGTCAACATGGAATATCTGAACAGGCACAACCATCTATGCCAAATAGTGCGTCAGTGTTGATGGAAAGGCCTTCACACTACAATTACCATGCAATCCAAAACGAGAAAATTTGCGATATACTGGACCGGACAAGCCATAACCGACAAAACTGTCAACGCCAGTAATCCGAATATTGTGCTACTAGGACGGCAGGCAAAGACTATCGACATTATAGATGTTATAATCCCGCTCAGATAAAACGTACAAACAGCGCACTACATGCACGGAAATAACACAAGAGATGACAGATAGGTATAATGTAGGAGCAGTTACTACAACTCGCGTCGCGATGTTATGTGCGGTAGTTGTGGCAAAAATTGCAGGGAAGGCCCTCAAATACTTAGAGATATATAATGTACTGGTGAAGGCGCAAAAAGCAGTTGCCGATCGCTACAGCAACCTTGACATGCGGATGTCTGCAACAATTATTATTATTAATTTTTGATGAGAGACCTGTCTTAAAACACTAGCCATCAGCTTTATTGCAAACTTTTAAGATTTAAACCTACGCTCTCGCAGTGGTTAGTTAGGGTCTTTTGCCTACTCGGCCACTTAGACGGACATAGCGATATTATAAATAAATCGCGAAAGCATTAAGCGAAAATTCGGTTTAATACATCCGGGGATAGGTGAATTCTCAACCCTGAGGTGAGGAATGTAGAAACGCAATATAATGGTAATAACACTAATATGGGAAATAATTATAGAAATCATAACAACAACAACAACAACAACAACGATAATAACAAAGTAATAATAATAGTAATGGGTTGGATTCTAGTTGTGGACAGAACGATACTCGGAAGTTGAAAATCATTCTAATTCTTTTCTGTTTATATCGCGAAGAACGTGTCCTGAGTTATCAGTAATTTTGATTTATTTAAAGCAAAAACAAAAAAAAAACAAAAAAAAAAAAGAAGCAAAAATCAAATTTTACTTCAGCTGTATATGCCGCAGTCGTGGCAAACGACAATGAATTCACGCAGATGTTCATGCATCAATTGCTCTGCAAGAATATATATATATATATATATATATATATATATAGGCAATGCTTGATTTAAAAAATTGATTCATCTTACAATACGGTCTACTAAATGGTTGCTTAGGAACACCAACTTACTCCCAATGCAAGCATGAAAACTATTTTTTTTTTTTTTATTTATTTTTTTTTTTTAATTTATTTTTTTTTTTTGCTTAATGCTTTATGAATGCCTTTGAAGGGTGTAATACTTACTCTTAAAATTGTTTTGACTCTTTTAAGTACTACTTTTAAGAAACTAGAAAAGAAACCAATGCAGCGAATATTGTTTTTACGAAAATATTTTCGCTGACAAAAACGAAAAAGGAAGCAAAACAAGAAAATGAAGAAAAGCAAAGCAAAGAAAGGAAAGACTACTTACTCGCAGCTCATAAATATTCAAAGCTTCTACACAAAAAAAAGGCAAAGGAGCTCTTGTGTGTTATTTTCACGCACCCGGCAATTTAACATTTGCATATATTTGCACAAACGTTTTATTTTGCAAGCGCCCATTCACCCCCGGTCCGATTATACTCAAAGCAAACAGACTTATCTAGGAGCAAAGAAAAAAATGTGAACCCAATAATATTCTTAGATAGTCAGTTACCAGCAGGAGCAATAGCAGCAGCAGCAGAAGCAGCAGCACCAGCAGCAGCATTAGCAGCATCAGCAGCAGTAAAAGTTATGTTGTGAACCATACTTGAGCGCTAGCAATAAAAGCAAGAGCCAATTTTTTCCGTTTTTTGCCTTTTTTCATATTTTTTTTTTCTTCTCCTTTTTAAGGCCTTACAAAAACACATACGAAAAAAAAAAAAAAAATTTTTGTATTTAGTTGAAGATGCCCTCTTTTCGATATGAATGAGATGGCACTTTTCTGCTCTTTCACTCTGATGTACTCATTGCTGTTTTTTAAGGGCTTTAACCAGTTGCTGTTGCAGGGATGTCGAAAAGTGTGGCCATTACTGGTTCTTTATTTTTCCTTTTTTTTTTTTTCTTTTTTTTTGCTTCTGCTACTGCCGTTGCCACTGCTGCAACAATTACTAGAAACGCATATTTTGCGGTTTTCTTAGCTGACAAAAAAAAGTGGTTAGTTGTTGCTCTTGCTCTTGCCTTCTGTGGTTTAAAATCTGGGTTAAGTATCGTTTAAAGGAAAAAAGATTTACTTATTTATGCTGTTCGCACGCATTAAAGACCTTTGAATATGTAGAAGATAGAAACTTTTTTTTTTTTTTTTTTAGATATCAACATACAGATACGTAGGTATACATACATGCACGCATACACACACACACACACACATGATCTTTAGAAAAGAAAAGCGAAAAACGAAGTAAGCAATCATTTTACCTAATTTATAACTCATATAAGAGATGATTAGTATTTATGGATCCTATAAATACCATAGCGTGTTGCTCCTTAAAAGCATAAAACTCACACTTGTTTATTATTTCAAAATTCAATAAATATTTGGAAAACTCTATCGGCTTTCTGTGATTGTTTAAAACCTTAGTTCAATGAATGTTAATATTGATCTATAAAACAGAAGGAAGTTTGTCTTACAAATGTAGATCTCTCCTCAGAAATTCCGCAAAATACTTTCACTTCAAGCTTTCCCTTAAAACATTCCTTTCGCATATTTGGATTTGCAAAAATAAGCTAATAACAACATAATGAATGGACAAGAATTTCGATGGGACACCCTAAGTCATTTCACCTAATACTCATCTATTTTCTTGATAAAGCATCAAAAACTACGTAATATTTGTATGTAAAGGCATACTTTTCAGGAAAATTCTTATATTGCACGAGGCGGAAAACGTCAACCATCATTGTCCAGATTTAGCAAATTTAATTTAGTTGTGAAAGGCATTATTATATTTTTGAATTGTTGAGACCGTGTATATAGCGGAGTGTAAAAAATAGAGCTCTGTGAAGAGAAACTGAATTCTCTCTGTCACCAATTTTCTGAGTAAAAACTTCAACTTTTTTGGTATAGGGCGTAGTGTTCACTAGACCGCTTTTATGGGGAGACGTTCAAAAAAACATGGTGCACGTGGTTCAAATTTGGTCAAGTTAGTTTTCATGCTCACTTAATGTTATAGACAAATTTTCACCACAAAGTATTAAACAAAAGATCTTAATGGTGCACAAGGAGTTAGTATTTCATGACAATCCTTGTTTACGTTGATGTCCAAAAGATAGGCCTTCTTGATCCAAATTTGAGACTGTTTTATAAATACTGACAATGTTTTCATTAAAAAACATTAACTATTACTACATGATTCAAGCACAGACAGACCTAAGTAGTGCAAAGTCGATGGGATTAATTTCTATGTTAAGGTACTCTTATGGACCCACTTTTGCTATGAACTTTCGAATTTTCACTCAGTTTTCCTAGAAACGGTTATCTGGCAAGGGGTTTGAAAATTGGGACGTGCGTGAACACAAAAGTACCAGAATAAACATCAGCGAGACACGCGGACGGCGTAGCATAGGAAAATGAATCTAAAGAATCCGATTGCTATGATAAAAGGTGGGTCTATCTCAAGCTCTTCGGGGTATTGTATGTAATATAAATCGATTTTATTTCGATGAGGATCAGGTTATAATTTCAGATTTCGTAAAATGTTATCCTCATGGTAATTAACGTAGTACCTAAAACTAAAACAAATTCTACTTATTGCAGATAAGTGCTTAGGTTATGCATCCATTGCATCTTTGCTTTCGTAAAAGATCAATGATAGCACACAAACGATGGCAAATATTGTATTGACAGCAAATAGACTTCCTTTGCTTCCTTTCGTTTGCTGAAACTGAAAGATGATCTTACATCGCGAACCGATTCAACGAGGCCAGACAACTGGTGTCAGGCGCGGGAAGAGCGCAGCAATTGAAACAAGGCGCTCAGAATTGATCAGAGGAAAAACCGTTATCCTCCATCAGGACAATGCTAGGTCAGAAGCGTTTTTAACGACTCGGCCGACTTTACCCCGCCCAATTGTCACTTTTCCACTCTCTGCAGAAATCGTCTACAAGTAATTTCCAAAGCCACGCCAGTGAAAATCGCTTGATTCAGTTTTTCGCCCAGTAATCGCACAAAACCGACACAGACAGTGAACATTGACTGCAATCCACTCACGAACAAGTCCGTATTAGACAAGGAACTGAGCTTTATAATTCACATATCATATCGATTTGAAACCTAAGGCCAACTTTTCTAGAAAATCATTTCGTTCGCTTGTAACATAAAATAGATTTAATAATAAATGGTTTACAACCAAAAAAAAAAAAAAAAAAATTGCATTAGAAAAATAAATTTACCAAAATGTATTTATTTGTAGTTAACCAGTTAATAGGAAAAAAAAAAAAGTATTGTAAACATTGGAAAATTTGTTATTTTGCGGATTATAAATAAAGGATTTTTGTTTCTTTTTTGTGCAACTCTTAGGAAGCATTGTTTAAATTCATGTTATTTGTTTTCAAAGCTATGCTTAAATAATAAATAGTTCATAACTTATTCGAAAATGTAAATTGAAACGTTGATCTGCCAATAAAAGTTGCGGATTGTGGTCGTTTTATAATAATAAAACTTTGTTGCTAAACAATGTTATGCGTCTTTGGAAATTTAATTTAATTGATTAAAAGGGCGTAATAGTCATTTTCCTTCTTCTTCGTTTCGTTCATTTGTTGTCTATTGAGTAAATTTAACACTAATATTGTTAACTCTATTTTTCATATGCTCTAAAATGTCTTGCGATAGATTTTCAAGAGTGGCGTAATCACTTTTTTGAAAGTCGAAAATGTCCGCCTGAAAACCCAATAATTGATCTTTAAAATAATTGCAAATATTCCTAAGATTATCATCGGGGCCAAAGAAACCCCATGCGAAGAGCGGGTATAATTGTTCGGATATAACATAAAAATGCGACATGAAACCGTCGGTATACTTAAGTGTGCGCTTTTTATTCTTTAAAACTGAGCAAACAGCCTTGGTTAAGGCAGTCTCTTTAAAGCCTTTCGATAGGAAACGATTTTGCACAACCGCCTTAACACTGGCAGGCGGTGCACCAAGATCGCAAAACGAATCACATATAAGAAAATCTAAGCATATATCGTAAAATGTCATTTCTTTAACGTTATACTGTTCAAGTTCTTTTTGCATATCGTCCCAATTATTAGGATCTTGTACGTAGTTGATTATATCTTCGTAACCTATTAAAAACTCTTTGATATCTTTATTGCCCAGACACAAGAGATCCGTAAGAATTTGACGGCCCGTCTCGATAATCCATTGAGTAATCGCGGGATCTTTAAATAAATATTGAAATGCCAAACGAACGCAATGTAATTTAGTTAAATATTCGTTATCGTTCGCGCAATGTAATAATTCCGTGTGAAAGGCGCGACAGTATATAGGCGATTCCTCATGCGTGATCATAGCTGCCTGATAAAAAGGATAATCATCATATTCGGATTCGGAGAAGCCCTTCAGTTCTGCCAAATCGGCAACGAAATCTGAAGCGGATGCAAAACTATCAGCTGAATCGAAATTTGAATCTGAGACTGAGCGCGTCATTCCGAGCGTGCGAGCCTGCGATAATTTCTCTTCTTCTTGTATATTTTCTGTGATTGTGGCACTGCTTTCCTCAACGATTTCTTCATCATTTGATTCTTCACGAAAAAAGGCTGAACGCTGATCAAGAAATAATAGTTCACTCTGCTCTTGCAATCTATACGTAGTATCTAAAAGATTGCGCAGCTCACGGCAGAATTCCGATTCCTTGGTGCCCGTAAACATTGAGTAATGGGCTGCCAATGCATCTTCCCAAAAATTTATAACTGTATCTAGAGCTTCCATACCCATGACACCGAGCTGTTGAGACGTTAACTGCGCAGTATTTGTTCCGTTCTGCCGTTGATTGGCTGAGCTTAAAACACCTACCCCAGTGAGAGCACTGGTTACAGACAGGCGATCCGATTGTGAGCATGTTACATTAGACTCCACCGGGCTACCGGAACGTGCTGAAGCTTTTGAATCAGCTATAGATAGCAAATCATTTTTGTTGGGCATTTTCTTACGTATACGTCTGCCCGAGCACTTGGGGGAACGGTAATAGGGTCGTTGCGATTTTCGTCTCCGTAAATATCGTGACAGGATACCCAGTAAAGTTACGCCAGCCGTTACAGACATAAGAACCACCTTATGGGTCATTGATAATTGTGCGGGAAACAAACGTACACTTGACCATTTCGATGGCAGCAAGTTTTTTGACATTTTGCTGATTACGTTACAATTTCTTCTGATAACATATGAGTGAAAGTGTTTTTTTTTCTCTTTTTTTTTTTTTTTTTGTTGGTCAAATTATTATTTGGGGAAATTTGAAGATGCACTAAAGGAAGTCGATTAAATCGAACAGATGAAGTAGATGACTTCTATCGTGAATTGATCCCACATTTACTTTTTTATTGTTATTGTTTGCTTATTGTTTTGTACACTAGTGAAGGTATTCACCCATTATTTCAACAACCGTTTGCTTTTGCTGGCTAAATTTTTCTTATTTATTTCATATTCTTAGTTATATGACATTCATCGTTGCATTGCATTGTATTCATATTTTTTTATATCGAACATTTTTTTAAAAATTCACTTGCACTAACACACATAAAGGGTCGGAAAAACGCGATTTTTCGAATATGTCAATATTGAGAAGTTGCCAGCTTTAATTTCAAATTTATTTAAGAATTTTCGAACGATTAAACTTATATTGAACATTTTCAACTTGATTTGAGTTTAGTTTGTGTGAACGTAATTTTGCTTTTACATTCTTAACGCTCTTTATCATCCGAATATTATTATAATCTTCTTTCATATTCTTTTCACATCTTTTAATTATATATTTGAACATTTTGTATTTGGAAATTTTCTTTGCATTTTCACCTTTTTCTGCGACTGATGATACTAGCAAAAGTTTACAATTTACACAAACGGCAAAACAAAAGAGACAAAAAAAAAGGGAAACAAAAAATTTCTAACAATAGTTTCAATTCATGCAATGCCTTTACCACTTGATCCTTTACAAAGGCAATAGAACGTAATTTTTATGTCCACTCTCTATTGACTTCTTTGACAAATTATACCAAACAATTAACTGAGAGACAATAATCAGAATAGGAATAATTTCAAAGTAAAAGCGAAATGAACAAGTCAGAATATTGTAGTCGGCAAGGTCGAACATTAAATAACCTACGCCACATTCTCATTTTTATTATAGGACACAAAAATTATATCTCGTTTCTATATGAAGGCATATTTTTCATGTGCGCACTTATGATGAAGAAGAGCCAAAACTCAACTTAATGTAATACAAGTTTAACACTTATATAGCACAGGATCCAAAAATAGGTGTACATGGTCTAAATTATGCAGAGTTCATTTTTGTGTGAAAGTACTATAACGTTATGGGTCAATGTCCATTACCACTAAACTTAAACTTTTCTGTTCTAAAAAAGACCAATTTTCATTAAAATCCTTATTAAGGTAGCATCCAGAAAATAGGCCGAGATGATCCATATTGGGTACATTGAATTTTTTATGTTAAATTACCGATTGTGATATAATTTTCATCATGAAGCATCGAAAATTGTACCTTTGTGCCATATGAACTTCAGCTTTCGGGGGATGCAAAAAATTACCCCACCCCATCCACAGTTTTCATATAAATTTTGAATGCTGAAACGCTACTACTCAGTCACTTTTGACGAGAAATTTTGAAAATTTGCAATTTTTTTCCAAATAACGACTTTACAGAATTAAGGCATTATATGAATGGTGGTCGAAAAAGTGGACCAATCAGAACCATTCTTAACAGCGTTCGTGCTTGGAGCAAAGTGCGTCTCTGTACCAAATTTCATCACATTATCTTAGATATTGAGGACTGCAGCTTGAATACAAAACACATAGGCAGACATCAGACACATAGACGGACGGACAAGCTTAGATCGATTTAGAAAATGACTTTGAATACATAGGTATAATAAAAGATGTGTCTATCTTAGGCCCTTCTGGGCGTTACATATAAAAGCACTAATTTGCTTACTAGTAGTGTAGCGTACAATAAAGACACCATACGGCAGACGGAGAAGAGGAGAATACAATGTTCTCGTTCTCAGAGATGCCAAAAGTTAATATTAAGCAATTTTCTTTTAAAAGAAAAGGGACACTGCAGTAAAACCAACTCCAAATTTTAGCTTTTAGTTGTAAGAACCACATTTTTCTTTGAAATAGATTGCGGTTTTATATCTATCTGACTTAAGCATTAAGGGATTGTCTTTGAATGTGAGATGATGACTAATGTCGTAATCTTTTAGAATAACTTTTAACAAATTCTAGCTATCTAAGGAAGTGTGTGTGTACGTATTACATTGAACGATTAAAGAAGCATATTTTCGTGAAGATTGTTTTAATGGAATAAAAGGATTACTTTATAAAATTCTCGTGCAAAAATTTGAAAATTCAGCCGTCGAGACTCCTTAGATAAAAATATATCTGTGCAGTCGTCGTCGAGATTTATTCGTTGTAGCTTAACTTGAATTTTAATAAGTCAGGAAATTATATTCTGCCGTGACCGTGTTTTTTATACTCATCCTAAAAAAAAGGACGAAAACTAAATTTGTATAATGCGCGGCCGATTTTTTCTGTTTTCAAAATGAGTATAAATTTTTATGTTGTGTGTTGTAATTCTTGAATAATAACTGACAAACACCGATAGCAAAAGTGTTCAAAGTTACTGTCCCATAGGCATGTAGGCATTGTAGGCGTTAGGGTCATTTTTAAATTCTTTTCCACATCAGCAAGCAATCATTTTTGCGAACAGCTACTACCCAGTTGGACAGACGGCCAAATGGATGGATGGACCGACGGATAAACTTAAATATAAACTTTGTGAGGTCTTTGAAGTTTCCTTGTGGGCATTGTAAACATTAGAACAAAATTAATATATCCCTCATCCTTCCATGATGGGTATAAAAGAGTTTATTCAGAAAACACAATTTTACTTACGTTCGATAATTAAATTCATTTTAATAATCAATAAATTTTAGAGATTGAAATTAATTTTTGAAATAAGAAAGAAAAATATTTAAATATTGCTGTAGTGAAACTCAAATAAATATTCTGTTTGATAATATTTCCACGTTTTGTTTATTGACTTCTATAATATATTTCTCTTTTAACTAAACTGTGGTCTTATATAATAAATTGTTGTGCTAGCTTAAGCAAAATAGTAAAGTTTTAAACTAAGTTATTAGCAAAATTTCGTCGACGTAAGTTATCCTAATTATGATAACTTACATTTAATGTGAATTATAACTAAAGTAAATTATCTTAACTAAGCTGTAGCTAGATTTACTTTAGGTAGACATATAAGAAAATGTAAATTTAGCATAAGTGATTAATAAGTGATTAATAAGTAGAATACGATGAAAGGATAATGCTACAGTGCAATTAACTCTTGAATAGATGCTACAAAAGAAATAAACATTGCTCTGAACATCTCCCGAAACTATGGGATGTTAACCGCCGTGGACTTTAAACATCAACTCCTACGATATTTCACTCGCAACATGTGAAAACGAATGTACGCTAAATCGCGTCTTCAGAGAATTAATCGCAGAGAAAAGTAGTAGTAGAAATAATGTGGAAAATAATGATTGTCATTCTCTTTTTACAGACTATTCACATGCTACACAAAAGCGCGTCAACGTTTACAACTGAAGCTATTGCCATTCTTCTGGCCGCAAACTGTGCTCGCAATGCTAAACTTGAAACTATTATCACTTACGATTTGTCGTTCATAAAAGCAATATGTTGCACTCCACTCTGCCCTTGGTAGTGCCGTTTTAAGATTCTTATGAATCCCGCCACCTTCTTTGGTTCAGAGCATCGCACCGTGTCTGGCGATGCAAAATGCTCGTCAAACACATGGTATCTGATTCTGCAGATGACTTCACATTCACATAAAATATGATGGCACGTCTCATACGTCTCTTGACAGAATCTGCTTGACTCCGTACGTACTGTTAGTCGCTTCTTCTTAGTTTCAGTACTTTATGTGCCGTACCGGAAGATGCTTCGAATCCTGTTGCTTGTCGTTATCTTGCACATTGCTTCCAACGCCAAAACGGTTTTTCCTGTGCCCATTGCGATACCAGAATATTTATATGGCTTCTTGGTACGCCACAGAAAGGTTCAGGACCTATCACGACGCTCCAGTAGCTACACAGCCAGCCCTTTCGTTACCTTCAACACCCGAGTGGCCAAGCACTTATATTCTATGCACATCATTGTGCCTTTCTAGTTGAGTCAGTGTTTGAACGCACTCCAACACTAGGCCAGATGTTATCAGTCTTTAAGGCGGTTTGACTGCCGGAGTATTTGTAGAACTGTCTCTTGCATTGCCCTTTTAAACGTCCAGACTACTTGCGCCGATTGCACAGATCTCTGCTTGGAATAGGGAAGGATTGTATGCCAATGGTATGGCCTTATGAAAAGTCGGGACACAAACCCCAGCGTCAGCTTTTTCCATCTTTCAATTTTGATCCGTCGGTGTACTATTTCCTTGTTTCCGCCCTCCGGACTCGAGAACTTACCCATCCCAGCCCGATCTCACCGGTATGATCACTTTGAGCCAGTAGGACAGAACTAGGAAGATCAGTTTTCTGATTACTTAACCCTATTAAAAGTGCTAAACTAACCAGCTAATCTACTTAAAAAAAAAAAGAAGAAAAGCTGATAGTCTTAGTTGTTAGTGCTCATCCTAATTTTAGTCGTAAAATTTATTCCTTTGGTCCAAATAAATAATAATAATAATGTTTAAGTAGCGTTTACTTTTTTATACCCATCACCGAAGCATGAGCGATACATTCATTTCCTGAACATGTAACGCCCAGAAGGCAGCCTAAGAGACTACATAAGGTGTACTTGTACAACATCAAATTCTGAATCGATTTACGCTTGCTCTGACTGTCTGTCAAACAGTTTAGTGTCCGTGATGGACTTTCCTCCGCTCGCAAACATCATGATATCGTCTAGAAATTTTGTAAAATACTTTGACACGCACACAACGCAACACTTTTGCTTTCCATGCGACTCAAAAAATACAACACATAGACGTTATAAATTTCTTCCATCTTTTTAGTCTTTTTTCAGATGAAGGTGATGGGTATATAAGATTCGGTCACGAACGAATACAATTTTGTTATCTATTATTCTTTAGA